CCTTTATTCCAAATGTTCTTGTCCTGCTCCATTTTACTTCTTTCCAACATTTTTCCCCCTCAGACCGTGGCTCAGTCCTCTTGGAGAGAAACATGTGCTGAATAGTTCTGATATTTTTCAGAGGTTAGAGTACTACAGCACTCGTCAATTCTCTTGCATCCACACAAACACATAGAAGTGGGGTTGTTTTTTATTTTTGTTGTTGCTTTGCACTCATCCAGAATGTGATGCCCATTCTCAAATCCCGTTTATCTATATTTCCATTCAGGTAGAGTCCTTTCAACAATTTGAGGGCCTATAGCTCACAATGATCTGTCAGTAACACCTTCACACTTGCTGCTTCCTACTTCCTTTCTACTGATGCTGCCTCTGTCCAGCATTGAGGTAGGCAGGTACCCCTGCTAATATTCTGATACATGTAGGGATTCCATTGCTAGAATTTCTTGAAGATTATTTTTTGAAGAGCTAGTGAACCCCTGTCCAGAAAGAGTTATTTATCTTTGGGAAGACTGGCTATAATGTAATGTAAGATAACTACAAACCTCTTTGTAGTCTATAGTTTTAAAAAAGCAGATTGTTCTAAAAAATGCAACACTTCTTTGGTCTCTTGAGAAATGTCTACTTGCTTATTCATTGGGCTTCTTGGAAAACTCACTTATTTAAATGAATCAAGTTTATGTGAGGGATTGGCCTCAGTCTGCAAGGACAGAACAGTACCCTAATTAAAACTTAAAGGAATTCCTTACAAAAACTGGAAACATTGCAGATAAACCACATAACAGTAAAATTTTTTTTTACAATCTGAAAACAAAATGAACCTACAAAATCTACATTAAAATGAGACTTCTAGCTTCAAAGGAAAGTATTTATAACAAGATTTTACTAAATATTTAATGGGTACTAATACATGCAAATACCAACTTTGCAAAAAATCTGTTTTATAACGTGAGCTAAGCATCTAAGCATCTGCATTAATATTAGTGGTGCTCATAATCTTCATAATACTTTAACAAAAACTAAGCGTTAATAGTACACAGGAGAGTCAAGTAAAATAATACACTTTATTTTAAACAACAGTTCAACACTTAATCTTGTTATTTTGTCTTGGAACAAAGACAGTATATGTAACTAGAATGATGATCTGTGCAAAGTTTTCATGTGACCACACTTAAGCAACCTCTAAACCAAAAATTATATTCTTTTAAGTAGAGGATAACCAAATCATATTTTCTAATATATTTAAATTATCCCTATAAACAAACTAGACATTCTCTTTTCTTGTTTTGTTATTGTTATGTTACAGAAAAAGCTTCCTATCACACTTAATACTTAGAAATATATTTTGGAGCTAGATAAAATCTTAGTGTAAATTCCTGCTCTACTACCTACTAGCTGTAGGATTTTGGGCAAACTTCTTAACCTTATTAAGCTCATTTCCTCCTCTATACAATGGAGAAAACAGATGTTTCAGATTGAGGTAACATGTGCTATGGGCTGAACCGTGCCCCTCCTCCCAATTCATTTGTCCTAGCCCCTAGTACTTCAGAATGTGACTGTAATGGAGGCAGTCCTTTTAAAGAGGTAATTCAGTTAAGATGAGGTTATTAGTGAGGGCCCTCACCCATTACGACTTACAAAAAGAGAAAATTAGGACACAGATACAGAGGGAAGATGTAAAGACACAGGGAGAAGATATCCACCTACAAGTGAGGGAGAGAGGCCTCAGGGGAAACTGACTCTGCCAATACCTTGATTTCAGACTTCTAGCCATCCGATTTGTGAGAAAATAAATTTCTCTTGTTCAAGCCCCCTAATATGTGCTATTTTGTTATGGCAACTCTAGCAAATTAATACAATATGTAAAGAATTTAAAATAGTGCCTGGAATATGGTAGGTAATTAGTAATTTAATTCTATGTTATTTCCCGAGAGCTCTTCCAATATTCAACTCTACACTTAATTTGGCTCTTATAATGTTTGATTTATGGCTAAGTAGTAAAAGAGCAAGACCTTGAGATGGGCTCTCAGCATCCCTGCAGCTTCTTGCCGAGTTTGAGCTCTTTTGATTTGGTTTTGTTTGTTGAACTTTTTCCAGGCCATTTCTCAGGGATGTGTTTCCAGTGAGTAACCTTCAATGATGATATACCTCACTCCAGACAAAGAACAGGCTTGCTTCTGCTCACTGTAAAAGTTGTGAATTGCCCAAGTTAGGTGTTCCTCTCCTGTAACACAACCCATTGTATATGCAGCAATTCATCATGGCTTTTATGTCACCCCTGTGGGAGTTGGAAAGATAGAGGAACAACATGAAGCTCTGCTTACTACATAACCATTTGTTTCCAACCCAGGAGTCTCATGTCTTCTGCCAGTATCCCATGGAATTTTAATTGTTAGCTTGTAAACAAGGCAAAAATCTAAGACCCTGCCAGTTCTTGAGTTTTGGCTGAGAGAGCCATAGTTTTCTGGAAAATATGAGGGGCCCAATGGGCTGGGTTAAAAGAGAGGTCTTCCTGACATCCAACAGTAAATGTTTTCACCTAAGTAGTTGGAAAGGGGAAGGAGAATATAAGTCCCCACTGTCATACTGTACCCTCACTGTTAAATTATGTTTGGAGGATAAGCAGTGAGAAGTAGGATTAAAACAAACCACCCAAATCATGTATTGGTTATTGCTGACTTACCTCAGGGTGGGAAGAGAAACGATGTCAATATAACAAGGCAGCATGCCCCACGTCTCTAGCCAAGAAGCAATTTGGCTGTGGCTGCTAAGTCAAGGGGTCCTCAAAGCTGAAACAAATGTTGCCAGCAATGAGGAAATAAAACTTTGAGTACACTAAAATTGTAAGTTTGTTGAGCACAAGTTGGGCAGCTGATCAGAACCAAAATTAAATGCAAAGCATTGCTTACTGGGATGAAGCCATTCTCTCTCTCTGCACTTCTTGATAATTCCTTCACCCTCTATCTGACCTCAGCTGCTTTAAGGAAAAAGCCAAGTGTGATGGGGAAACTTGGGGAGAAGAAAGTGGCTCTGCTAGATACAGGTGCCCAAGTCCCCAGTCTAGGAGAAATCGGTATTAGGCATAGGGTGGTCAAAGGTACCAAGGCCTGCAGGACACTGAGGAGGTACGGTGTTATATGGAGGGCAAAAAGAAAGATCCCCAGTTTGGGTGCTCCCCAGATACTAGGAAGTGCACAGGTAAGAAGATGACATCAACACTAAAGACAGGGCCAAGAAAGATAAATAGCCTCCTTGCATGAAGGGAGATAACATAATCTCTTGGCAACTGTTAAAGCCCCGGATGTGCCAGTGTTACACTTCTTGGTCCATGTTCCCATAGAGGGAAAAAGTGACTAAAGTCAACACTAAGATTAGAATAAACTGTTATAAAAATATATAACTGGTATTGAGGGGTTACATGCTTATATTACAAATGGTCATAAAGTGCCAGAGGAGATTTTCCCATTCAGGGTATTACTGCATCTGGAGAAATGAGACAAACTCCCTGCCATGTACTACCACACCCTAACCCACCCTAACCCTTTGGCAGGTTAGGATTTAGTGCCAGTGCTTCTACGTTCTGATGTCCCAAAAGTTCACTATATAGATGATGTTCTGGTGGTTAAGCCTGTCTCAATGATCGATGGCTCTGATGGTGACTATTATCTTCCTCTACCAGAAGTGGATGATATACCTGAACTAAATTCAGAACTTTGTTTGCCAAGTAGTTTCTCAACATTATTTAGACAGAGTCATAACACTTAATTCCTCTGAGAGCCAAACAAACAAATGTTGTCCCCTTAATAAGACTCTTATTCAGTATTGGAGGCAGTACATAATGCTACAAATGGCAGCTTCTAGATGTGAAAATGTACAAACACAGGAACCAGCATAACCTTGTTTCAATCTGACAGATCTTATACTTCTCTTAATGTCTGAGTAGCCTTGGATTTTACCATGTATAGCAATAAGGCTGCAACCAGTGAGTGACACTACCTATGTGACTTAATCAAATCACATAATGGTGATTCAAATCAGGTTTCACAACAAATCTTTAAGTACAGTGACCTCGCTCTGTTGGGATGTGCTTGTATATGGGGAAAATGGGCCACAGTAGGTCTCTCCATTAGGGATGGGGGATGTGTTTTGGCCATCTATTGCCTTGTGTAATTTTGTCAGTGACACTGAAGACCAACAACTCAGTCAAAGCTTCCTGGCATGGGTCATAATGTATGATACATTGATCTTACAGTACATTCAGGTTAATAAAAAGACCCCTCTCCCTTGGAATTTAAAATTGACTAAATTCAAGACCTTGGGGGGCATCACTGAGGTCAATACTACAGACAAGTTTCATCCTGCTGCTCAGAGTCTGACAGCAATCTTAGTTAACTGATATATAAAACTAAATAGATCTGGTATTGACTAAACAACCAGTCAGATTAATCGTACTAGCCAAAAGAGTGGTATTCATACATGAAAATTCAAGTTTGGCCAGGAGTATGTCAGGTTAAGGGGTGAGTACTGGAAGAGGTTATCCAGTATGGGCTCTGAGTGACCCTGCATATTTCTGCGTATGCCATGAATGCAAGGACCTGACCTATCTTTACCCAGTACATGTCTCTGGCATGTATTTACACTGAATAACCTTGAGGAATGAGGTAACAACTCCCCTTGGACCTTTAAAGAACAGGATTGTTTCTGTTTATTATAAAAGCAGAAGTCCCAAACTCAGTATTCCTTTTCTGCAACACAACCCACTGTGTATGCCATCTTCCATCTCTGATACAAACCAACAGGAAGCTCTGGTTACCATTTTTGTTTGTGAATAATAGGAGTGCTTTGTCTCTGTCCCAAGTGTCTCATGTATCTTGTAGCATACCATGAAATAGTAACAGGCTAACCTGTTAGCTTGTAAGTCTAGTGAAATCTCAGACCCTACAGTTATTGACAGACATCAGTAATTTCCTTCTTGGTAATAGCTGGCATCTTAGATACTATGATTTGGCAACTAGGAAATTTATTAGCATGATATATTACAAAAGATTATTTTCCAAAAGACTTAGCCAATAACACTACAAAAATAAAAAGCCTTCTGTTTCCTGTGAATTTATCTGTGTGTGTCCAAGTCCAGTAATAATTTCACTGTCTGTCTGAAGTACTAAAAGCACTAAATCCAAAGCTCGGCGCCATGCCTCAATCTTTGGTGTAACATTGTCATAAACACTTGGAATCTGTTCAAGTTTATTTGAAGTGCCTGAATTAAAAATTCCACTATTTAGTTTACTATATTCATTCAAGATGTAAGATGAAGGAGAGCCAGAGTCTGTAGCATTTTGTAGATGTTGTTGAATGACTGTGCTGGCTCCCAATTCTGATGAGTAATTGGCAGTGTTATACATGAGAGTTGAAAGGTATTTGTGCCATCCATTTGCCAGGTATTTCAGCACAGTTGATCTGTATAGTGTCAGAGATGAGGCCAGCCAAGAAGATGTATTATGAAGCCATCCTGAACAGACGTGGTTTCTTTTACTCAGCGATTGCTCTGCAAGAATTTGAAGATGGCTAAGACACAAAAATTCAACTGCACCACCTCCAAGAAAGACCTTTTGCTCTTTTAGAGCATAATATAGACGATAGGCACAAGTCCAGAACCTATCTTCTTTGGCTTGCATCTGTGCAGGCAGTGGGCTAGTGAGTACTACTGTAACCAAATTAATTCCTTCCGTTTTTATCATGATTGTCATTATGTTGATTCTATCTATGACATCTGAGGGAATACTTCTCCAGAAGTTCACACAGACCCCACTGCCCACACAGTTTTCATTCACTTGTGTAATGTAGGTCACCTGTACTGCTCCCGAAGCTTCTGCAAAAGCCTGCATCACACTGTTGTTCACTGACCCAATTACCAACCGCTTACTCTGTATGCACTTTTCAGTTAAGTATTCAGAAACATTTCCTCGTACCAAGACGAGGTTCACATCGAACTTGATTAATACCTGTAATACATTATTTGTCCACCGTTCTTCTGAGCTGTCTTGTTGAAACTTCACGCTTTCTAACAGTGTATTAATATTTGCAGCCTTATTAAATCCCAGGTGGCGATAATTCTCTGTGAGGTCACCCTCAATGAGAATAATCCGGATAGGCTGATTCTGCAATTCCTTGATCAGAGTAGTATTAGATATTGACACAACAGTGATATATCCTGGGCAGACACATGAAAAAGTTTCAGCTACACCGGGTAAACAGCAAGTGAAGATTCTTGAAATGTCAAACATAAATGGTACTGAACAGTTGCCTTGTTGCATACCTGAATTCTGATACTGCAGTCGAACTGCTTCATCTACTAATTTCATGCTGTTGTGATCTCCGTGACTCAAACCCATCTCCAACTCTACCAAATCATTACATCTGTAAGTATGGGGAGTAGCTGCACCACGTTGTTCTAGAAATCCCTCTGGTTTGTTTATCCACTGATTACTATCTGGCCTATTAAAATGCCTACTGTGGATTAGTATTGACTTTCTACAGTGGTTGTCTGCGAGCAGACTCTTTTTCAGAATTTGAGGATTTTGTAATATGTTTTTATTTGCTTCAACTTCAGCCTGAGGTCTAAAGAGTTTAGGTGATCCAACAGGTATCCCAGAAAGGTTGTAAATGGTCAATGATGGAGAGGCAACATCTTTAAGATCATGCTCTTTCAGTAAACCAGTATCTGAAGGGATTTGTAGAAAAGGACACAAATTGACACTACATGTGTCAAGTCCAGAAAATGTCTTTGTGTTGTCTACATGGTCAAATACATTGTGGATAGGTACTTGAAGGGAAACTACCTCTTCAATGCAAGAGTTCAAGCCTTCTGACATTATAGACACTATTAATGAAATAGGGACACCCAAATGAAGACATTCTTCAGCGGCACTGCTCCATGCACCAACAAGAAGCAAAAGGGTACTGGTTCCAGTTTTATATGTGCTATTTTGTGTTTGAACTGCTTCATTGAGAAGTTGTCCCACTGCGCTGGTTAAATCCAAACTTTCAAGAAGCCTTACTATTGAACTGATTAACATACTTTCATGACACTCTTCATCAATAATAAATTTAGATGATTTTACTGGGCCTAGGAGGGTTCTTCCTGTTCCTGAGAATGATGAAAGTTGCTGAAGTCCCACGTGCCTTCTTTTATTTATGACCCTGCAAGCCATCACCATGAATCATCATCTGCAAATAAAATAAAAACTTGGCACTTTATTCAGTGTAATTCATGGTTATAATTGCTCATAAAAGAAAAATAAGATATAGTCCCTGCCTTTGAGGAGTTTCTGATATATATAGTTTCCATGAAATATGGTCAGTGCAGTGACATGGTATTCTAATGATATTGAGATAAACGTATGGGCATGTAGGGAAGGAACACTTCATTCAATAGGGGAAATGGATCATGCAGGTAATAATCCTGGTAGTGTTTCCAGAAGAAGGCAGTGACTGAAATGAGTTTTGAAGAATAATCTGAAAGAGCAAATTAAAGGAGGTGGTAGTAAATGCACATATATGTGAAAAAACATAGTGTATTTGGGTAATACAAGTAGTTTAGTTTCATGGGAATATAAAGAAAATAGTGGGAAATGGGGGACGAAGTTATAGGAGAGAAAAGGATTGGAACATGAAGGGCATTATGTGACATGCCAAGCCTGACCCTATGATGGGAATCAATCACTGAAGTGTTTTAAGTAAGGAAGATTAAGAAACAGTTTGATGTAGAGTTTGCAAGCCTGTGCTCTCAATCTAGAAGTCTGGGTTTGAACTTGGCTCTAATGCTTACTAGCTATGTGTAGGCTTCATCAAATGATTTAACTACTCTACCCTGCTTTCACATCTGAAAAATGAGGACAATAGCACAAGCTACTTCATAAGGTTATCATAAGGAATAAATGAGTACAGTGCTTAGAACAGTGCCTGGCATATAATCCCTTCTGAATACTACTACTATGACTACCAGTGTTTTGGATATATTACCACTCTGAAAACAGCATAGGGAATGAACTAGATGGGTGCCTGATTGGAGGCAGAGAGGCCAGCTAAGCATCATCCTCAGATAAGGAATGTGGAAGAGGGATGCAGGTGAGAAGATGTACTTGGTTATTGGTTACAATGTAATGGGGGAAAATATTGCTTAAAGAGAAGTTCAAGAGCTATTAGGCTTTTTCCACATAATATTTCAAAATCCACATCTAAGACTAATAAAAAAGAAGAACTTACAAGAAAAAAACTTTATCCCAGTAAAAAAGAATTTTTTAACAAATACCCTTCAATTGAAAAGCTGTCTATAATAAAATGTCTTGTGAAATACAAGCTCTCAGTTAAAGGACTAGAACTGAAATTGTAAATAATATAAATTTCTCTTCTAATTCTAAGACCTTATAATTCTTTGAGTGATATTTTTTATCATGGTCTTTTTTTTTTTTTTAAGTGTTTTATTTATTTCTAGGAGAGAGAGAGAGAGAGACAGCGTGAGCAGGGGAGGGTCAGAGAGAGAGGGAGACACAGACTCTGAAATAGGCTCCAGGCTCTGAGCTGGCAGTCAGCACAGAGCCTGACACGGGGCTCGAACCCACGAACCGCGAGATCATGACCTAAGTGAAAGTCGGACGCTTAACCAATTAAGCCACCCAGGCGCCCCTATCACAATCTTTTAAATCCAAAATATCTAAAAGCAAACAATTTAGATTTTTGTTCTTCATTTGATAAATTTGTTTTTCTTTTTTTATAGCTTTTTAAAGTGATGTATGGTAATTAGGGTGATTTATTTATTTTATTATTATTATTTTTAACGTTTATTCATTTTTGAAAGACAGAGAGAGAGAGCACGCGCAGCGGTAGGGCAGAAAGAGAGGGAGACACAGAATGCCAAGCAGGCTCCAGGCTCTGAGCTGTCAGCACAGAGCCCAACACAGGGCTTAAACCCACAAATCATGAGATCATGACCTGAGCTGAGGTCAGACCCTTAACTGACTGAGACACCAGGTGTCCTGGCAGTTAGGATGATTTAAGTTTTATTTTTCATGTTTGTTTATTTTTGAGAGAGAGAGAAAGTGCGCAAGCAGGGTAGAGGCGAAGAGAGGCAGACAGAGAATCTGAAGCAGGCTCCAGACTCTGAACTGTCAGCAAGAGCCCTACATGGGCCTGGAACTCAGAAGCCATGAGATTATGACCTGAGCTGAAGTCAGACACTGATCTGACTGGGCCACCCAGGTGCCCCTGATAAATTTGTTTCTATAATACCTAGATTCATCCTTGAAGCTGAGGAACACCACTATCTGAGACACCATAAGATCAGGAGGAAGCCAAAATACAACTATTCCTCAAGAGTAGCTTCCTATAAGCTTTCAAGGACTAAGGAGAAAAGTGAGTACAGCATAGGAAAATGTATAATAAATTGTCTGAAATCAGGTACAAACGCTCTTTTGTGAAAATTTCAATTCTGTAAAATGAAAATAAAACTCTTGATACACTCAGACATAACCATAGATAGCATCAAAATACACTCCAGGACTCCAATACTCTAATCCTGAGACCCACTGTATCTTAAAATTATCTGATTTTACCATGTTTTTGCTGTCCTTTACCCCTCGCCCCCATATTATCAATTCTCTACTTACTCAGTTTAAATTCTAAATTCCTATTTGTCAATTAAAATCACTCCCTTGCACATATACCCTCAAAATCCTTATCCCTCTTTAGGTTCATCTTACTCACCTGCAAAGCAACAAATCTTGATGAAATCCAACTCTGTCTACTCCATGCTTACCCTGGTGCAGCTAAAAATAAACAGAAAAACACACACAACCATGCTGGTGTCATTTTAAACCTCAAGTGGCCCTTACTATTGTCTGACAATCTACTTCACTAATTCACTTATCTTTTTTTTCTTTTTATAAAAGATTACCACTTACTGGATTTTATTTTTAAAAGTTTTGCCTACCCCTGACTACAAAAGATATTCTTCTATATGTCTTCTAAAAATGGTATTGTTTTAATCTTTTTTTTTTTAAATTGAGGGGAACACATAACATAAACCATTTTAAAATGTACAATTCAGTGTCACTTAGTACATTCACAGTGTTGTATAATCACTACCTTTATCTAGTTCTAAAACATTTCCACCACCCCAAAAGAAAACCCTGTAGCCATTAAGTATTCTCTCCCTGTTCTCTCCCCTACCCTCTAGCAGCCAATCTGTTTTATGTCTCCATAGATTTACCTATTCTGGTTATTTCATATAAATAGAATCACACAATATTCTTTCACTTAGCATGTTTCTGAGGTTTATCCACACTGTGTTATGTATCAGTACTTCATTCTCTTAAGGGCTGAGTAATATTCTATTGTATGTATATATCATCTTGTTTGTTTATCTGTTGACAAACATTTTAATTGTTTCTACCTTTTGACTATTGTGAATTTGTGCTACTATCAACATTTGTGTACAAGGGTTTGAATATCAATTATTTGGGGTATATACCTAGGAGTGGTCACATGGTAATTCTGTTTAACTTTCTGAAGAACTGCCAAACTATCTTCTAAAGCAGCTAAACCATTTTACTTCTTTACCAGCAATAAATGAGGGTTTCAGTTTTTCTACATCCTTGTTGTCTTGATTTCCTAGGGCTGCTACACTAAATTACCAAAAACAGGGTGGCTTAAAACAATATATTTTTATTCTCTAATAGTTCTGGAGTCCAGAAGAAATCAAGGTGTCTGCAGGGCCATGATCCTTCTGAAGTCTCCAGAGAAGGCTCTTCCAGCTCCGAGATGCCTCCTGGAGGTCTATGGCTTTTAGTCATAAAACTCAAATATCTGCATCTATTTCACACGGCTTTCTTAAAGAGACACAAGTCATTGTATTTAGGGCCAACCCTAATCCACTATAACTTCATCTTAACTAACAATTTCTATAAAGAACCCATTTCCAAATAAAATCACATTCTGAGATTCTGGGTAGACATAAATTTTGGAGGGAACACTATTCAACCCAGTATGCTTACCAATACAAATATTCCATTTTTTTGTTTTGTTTTTTAAATAGACATATTAGTGGATATGAAGTGATGTTTCATTCTGATTTTGACGTGCATTTCTCTAATGACCAATGATGTTGAGCATCTTTTCATACTGGTTGGCCATTTGCGTATCTTCATTGGAGAAATATCTATTCCAATCTTTTGCCCATTTTAAACTTGGGTTGTCTTGTTGTTGAACTGTAAGAATTCTTTATATATTCTGGAAACTAGAACCTTATCAAAATATAACTTAGAAACATTTTCTCTCTTTCTGTGTTGTATTTTCTACTTTTTTGATAATGTACATTGTTGCATAAAAGTTTTCCATTTTAATGAAGCCTAATTTGCCTATTTTTTCTTTTGTTGCTCCTGCTCTTGTGGTGTCATATCTAAGAATCTATGGCCAAATCCAAAATCACATTTATCTGACCCAGTGTATTCTTCAAAGAGTTTTACAGTTTTATGTCTTATATTAAGTTCATTGATACATTTGATTTTTGTATATGGGTGAAATAGGGGTCCAACTTCATTCTTTTGCATTTGGGATGTCAAATTGTCCCAGCACCATTTGTTGAAAGACTATTCTTTCCCCATTGAGTGGTTTTGGTATCTTTGTCAAAAATCAATTGGCAACAGATTTTGGGGTTTATTTATGGACTCTCAATTATATCTGATTGGTCTATTGGTTCATCCTTAAGCCAGGAACACACTTTTTTGATTGCTGTAGCTTTGTGGTAAGTTTTGAAGCAAGGGAGTGTGAAAGTCCAACTTTGTTCTTTTTGTTTTAGCTTTTATATTTGTGTTTATAATTCATTTTAAACTGATTTTTGTAAATGGTGTGAGGCAGGGGTCATTTTGTTCCCTCCTGGATATCCAGTTACTCCAGAATAATTCGTTGAAAAGACAAGCTTAAAAAAGACTGGCTTTTTGCTTGTTTTTCATTTCTAACATGCTTTGAGAGCTTATTAAGTATGAGGTAGTACACATGCATTATGTGAAATAGTTCTCACAATATAATGAAGTACAAAAAGCCTATTAAAATGAAAAAATAGTTAAGTAATTTACAAGATCTTACAGCTAGTAAGAGGTAAGTTATGAACTAAAACCAAGATTTGTGTAAAGCCAAAGACCCATACTATTAAGTACTGTACATTACTGCCTTCTGGCTGCCCCTTGAGCCAACATGATAGCAATCCCACCTCTCTTCTGTAGAATCTTCCATTGCATTTCCCACTTTCAAAGTTTCTTGCCTTCTTCTAAGCCTGTTCATGCCCTTAATGTGGGTATGCTCTTTCTTCCCCAAGCATCAGAGTCTTTGTTATGGTTTCCTCTCTATGAACACTTTTTTGCAATCCATTTTTTTAAATGTTTATTTATTTTTGAGAGTGAAAGAAAAAGTATGAGCAGGGGAGGGGCAGAGAGAAAGGGGGACAGAAGATCCGAAGCAGGCTCTGCAATGACAGCAGAAAGCACGATATGGGGCTCAAACTCCCGACTCTTGAGATCATGACCTGAGCTGAAGTAGGATGCTTAACCCACTGAGCCACTCCTGCGCCCCCTCTACACTATGTTTAAATCACAAGATATTATTATATGAATGGAAAAGTTACAGAGAATTTAGAGCAAAAGGAAAAAGCAATGGGTTATTTCAAACTTACTCAAACTTTCTTCTTTTAATTTTTTTTTAAGCATTTATTTATTTTTGAGACAGAGACAAGCAGGGAAGGGGCAGAGAGAGAGAGATGGAGACACAGAATCAGAAGCAAGCTCCAGGCTCTGAGCTGTCAGCACAGAGCCTGATGTGGGACTCAAAACTCGTGGACTGTGAGATCATGACCTCGGTAGAAGTCGGACGCTTAAACAGCTGAGCCACCCAGGTGCCCCTAAAACTTACTCAAACTTTCAAAGTCTATATTTAATTTCTGTGAACAAGGTTTTCCCAGGGAAGACATGAAATTACTTAAACAAAACTAATATACAGACAAAAAGTTACATAAAACTGATAAAAAAAATATTCAATTATTTCACTTACATCTAGAATCTAAAACAACAACAACAAAACAAAGCAGAAACTAATCCATAAATACAGAGAACAAACTGGTGGTTGCTGGAGGGAAGGGGTACAGGGAATAGGTAAAGAGGGGTGAAAGGAAGTGGGAAGTACAGGCTTCCAATTATAGAAAGAATAAGTCACAGGGATGAAAGTACAACATAAAGAATATAGTCAATGGTACTGTAAGAGCGTTGTATGGCGACAGATGATAGCTCCATTTGTGATGAGCAAAGCATAACATATAGAGTTGTGGAATCACTATGCTATATATCTGAAACTAATGTAACACTGTGTGTCAACTCTATTCAGTAAAATATTAATAAACAAACAAATAAATAAATAAATACATATTTGAGAGAAATTCTGTTTCAGCATTTGAAGACTCTATTCCAAGTTTAAGCAGCAATTAAAAAAGAAAGTCTTAGCAGTCCTAGGTTTAGAAAAGCTTCTAAGTAATTATTTTGGAGAGATTAGTTAATTCACATAAAATACAAACTTATTTTTTATAATAAAAATCCCTTATCTCCTAAAAAGTGGAGTATAAAAAGGACAAACACAGTGAAGTGGATGGTGAAATAGATAATCTCAAAGACAAAAACACCTCTGGTAACTATTCTTGGCATTGAATCAACACACTCTGCTTCTTGTTCCGCAATACATCAGCACCACTGTTTTCCACAAACAGTTGTCTGTTTTATTATTGAGATCCCTAACAACTTTACTTGCCAGCTTAATATTTCTTTAACTTTTTAAAGCTTTAATAGAAGCAGAGTCACACTACTTCACTGGGTTTTGACATGTGAAGCAGCTTTCTTTTCCTTTTATCATGCCTAGTCTTATCTAAGGTATTTGTTTTAGAATACTAAGACATGCAATGCTTTTCAGGAGCTGAATTTTTAAAAATACTATTATTTTCTGACTGGCATGATTAACTTCTTTCATCATCAAAAGTTATAGTTTGCGTATCTCGTCTATTCCCAATACAGCAGTCTAATCATGATTCCATTACTTAAAAACCTTCAACTTGGAACATAAAGGTCTTTGCTCCTTTGTCTTACACAGGACCCCCTTTAAACAATTAACTCAGATCCTTTCACTCCTCTGTTCAAAATCCTGCAACACTTTCCTATTTCACTAGGAAAGAAAACAAAGGTCTTTAAGCCCTAATAATCTGCACTCCTCCCTCTTACCTCTCTTTGTTTCTTACTATGCTATCTCTATCCCTTGAGCACTGGGCTCTGGCCTCCTTTCTGTTCCTGGAACATACAAGGCAAGCTCCTTAACTTAGAGTTTCTGTTCTAGTTGTTCTCACTTTCTGGTATGCTCTTCCCAGAGAAATCTATTGCCTCCCTACCTCGAAGTATTTACTCAACTTCCCCTTTTCAAGGAGGCCTACCCTTGGGCACCGTATTTAACACCACAAACTCCTCTTTTCCCTCTTAAGTGTAGAATCCCCTTTAATTGTTTGGATTAACTTTAGCTACTTGGATTCCCTTTAATGCTCTACTTCCTTTTTTTCCATAACACTTATCACCTTATAAAATAGTACACAGTTTAATATCTATTTATTATTTATCAACTATCTCCTTCCATTGGAATGTGATTCCCAAGAGGACAATTTTAGTCACTGAGGTATCCCATATACCAAAAATATTGTCTGACATACTGTAGACACTCAAGAACTATCTGGTGAGCAAATGAAGAAATGGCTTTCACCATATTTGCTATCTTAACTTTTAAGTACAAAATTGACAAGATTAAACAGATGTTGCTGTCAGTATTCCCCCACCACAAATTTAAGTTTCAATCACCTTTAGAGTTGATGTGATTCCTATAGGGCCCTGTCTTAGGTGAGATACTGTAATTCCAAAATGGTACCTCCTTCATATGGTTGTCAGAATTATCTCTGAAAAACACAAACCTAATCAAAGTAGTCCGTTGCTTAAAAACATCTATTTATCTTAGAAAATGAAATCTTTACTCTCAAGCTTGACATAAGTGTCCCATAACTGGACCTCAGTGTAATTTATGACTCATTTTCTACCCTTCTTTATAAATTCTATGATCTTGCCACACTAGAACATATATTTATTTTCATTTTTATATACATGCTATATTCAGATTTGAATATCCTACCCTTAATTCACCTTGGCAAATGCTATGTATCTTTCATGACCTAAGGCGAATGCCACATTTTTGATATAACCTTCCCCAATGCCTGGAAGTAGTGCCTCCTTCCTGTGCTCAAGCACTTTCTACACACATCTATTAAAGCACTTAGCACCGTGAATTTCAAATTCTGTATTTGTGTCTGTGCCTTTCTCCCCCACTAATCTTAGGTTCCTTGCCTTTATTTTTCTTTTCACTCTACATTCAGTTCCTTTCAAACTCACCCACCCAATAGCTGGCACAGTACATGTGGAAAGTATTAAATAATTATAGGTTTAGTTAAGAGTGCCAATGGATTTAATATTTTCTTAGACTAATTATTATTACTATTATTGTTTTATAATACAATTACATTAGTAATAGCTACTTTTCAAGACTAAGTACTTCCTACCCAAGACCTAGAAATTGCAATCTGAGCCTATAATCTAAAAATCATTTTTACTAGAAGTTAATTTCCCAAATATAAGAACCTAAATCATAAAGTGATATAAAAGTAGGTAAACATATTACATCAGCCTTTTAATTGCCATAAGATCAAACTTTCTGTAGGTTAGAATTTGGTTCTATATATTTGGTCACTATTCATTTCTGGGCCTCAGAAATCCTCTTAATGTTAACAGAAAAGATGAAGTGAATGTCCTTGAAACTGATCAAGAGGAACTTTCCCAGTGAGACTAATGGCCTGAAAAATCAATACACAGTTAACCCTTAAACACTGGGAGTTAGGGGCCCCCAACCACTGCACAATTGAAAATCGAAATATAACTCTTGACTCACCTGAAACTTAACTACTAATAGCCTACTGTTGTTTGGAAGCCTTACCAGTAACATAAGCAATCGATTAACACATATTTCATATGTCATGTGTATTATATACTGTATTTTTACAATAATACCTTTTTCTTAAAATGTTTTCAGATCTCTAGGCTACGAGGTTCAACCGGGAGTCTTTTCAAATAGTGGAAAATCTCCAAAAAAAATCTATGTATAAGTGGACCCACACGGTTCAAATCCATGTTGTTCAAGGGTTAGCTGTATTATAATAAGTGAATGAGTATTTTTACTTAGTTCACAAAATATCTTGAGCTTGCCTCTTTTTAATTCCCACTGGAACAACTTTATACAGAAAAAAAAACCTTCTAATATTAGAATAACCGTACCTATTTTCCAGAATCCTAGTGAATTGTTTATCTATGATTATAAAGCTTGGGTGTCTGATTGGGATATAATGTGAACCAGACAGGATGATGGTTTCGGAAAACATGCCATACTTCTACTTACTACAGTATGAACAGTGATTTGGGAGACTTCTTCAAGAATGTACTTTGCACAGTTTTTTGCCCTACCTTCAAGGAGTAAGTGGGAGAAAGGAAAAAAAAATCTAAGCAAAAGTTAATGTTCTTCCTGAATCCACTTACTGCTGGAGAATCCAGTATGATTTTTGGAAAATAAAGTACTTACTCCACAAAAGGTACTGCAGGAGGCATAAAAAGAATCCTGATGTGTAAGCAATTAGGGTTTTAGGTTTTAAGGGGCTATCACCTCTTCATTCCAACCAGGAAGTCAGAGGTCCACCTCATTCTTTCCCACCTTTAAGCTGGTCCCTGACCAGATTCATGATTGGGCAAACAGCAAGTCAGGCCCTCTGGACAAGAATGTGCCTCAGCAGTTATGGGCTTCTAAATCTCGGCAGTTACTGAGTCTATTGGATTATCAAGCTACCTGTATCTGACTCATGACTGTGGATCTATGCTGGAGATGTCTGGAAAGCAGGCCAAATCTCGGGATTCAACCATTGGAATGGCGGAGGGTGGAGGTGGGCGGTAGATGTCAGACAGTAATTATGTGTGGGGCCACAGTCCTGCCAGGCGAATGAATACTACAATACAGGTAAAAACCATTTTCTATGTGGTGAGGCTTGGTGCATCACAACACCCATTCCCGCTTCCTTCCAGTCCCCATCCCCACCTCCTTCCAGCTATACCCCTACCGCGCCAGAATCTCTCCGAACCAGAGGGAAATGCTCAAGGCCAATCCCCAAGCACTATGGGGGTTGAGAAATATCGAGCGGCGTATGGAAAGGGCAGTCCTCTCCACTTCTGGCAACCCCAGCCGGATGGTAAACCCAAAGTGGACCAATTCACCCGACCCGCCAGGCCCTGGATTCTCGTTCTTAACCCCGGGCACGAAGAGGTCAAAAAAGCAAATAAGGGCTCTCCACGTCTGCACTGAAGACTTAGCAGTCAGTAGAAGCACCTCGTTACTAACCTCGTTCTTTTCTCCATCTTCATGTGAGGCTCCAGTCCCCGGCTTTCCACCGCCAGACGCGGTTCTGGCTGGCCCTTGGACACCAAAGCGCCGGGGAGAAGACGCCCCCTTCCCCGCCCGCATTTTGCGCATGTGCGAAGCGGGGCAGCCGGCTGGCTGGGTGGGGCTGGTCGCTAAGAAACCAGAGGAAAAGTTCTGCTTAAGGGTTGGCTGGGAAAGGCAGAGCGTTATCTTATTGGTAGAGAGTAGAGAGAATGGGTTGGCCTAAAGATCCTTCTTTTCTGACTATTGGGTGGAACTACTGTCAATCAGTAGGCCACTCTGGGCGGGGCTGCTCGTGAGGCCAGCCAGAGCGGCCTTAGCAACGATTTCTGAACTGTGAAGGCTGCCGTTGGGCTGAGCTGCCGGCGGCTGAGATCAGGAGGTCCAGGCTGAGGGCACCAGTTGGTGACATGGTGAGTGTGAAGCTGTAACCGCTTGCTGGGCCAGGGCTGGTGCTGAAGTTTCTCTCCGGATAAAAAAAAGGAATTGTGTTTGGTATATGAAATACATTATTCGCCTACCTGATCCTCGAGTGTCGTTTAGTAACCCCTCCTCTCGTGATCAAATGGAAGCACATTGCCCAAGGCTCTTAGGGACACAGGAGCGGCTCTCCTGTTTATCCCCGCCAGCCGCTAATACCAGCACTCTGCTATAGGTTCCATGATGAAAATAGAAACCACTAGCCAGAAAGGAATTGAATACAGAGAAAAAGAAACTTAAAAGTCTGTTGGAGGGTCTAGGGCTCTAGGAAAAGAGGTCCTGACCTCCGAAAAAGTGACTGGCCAGGGTAGCTACGAACTCTGCCACTGGTGGGAAGGTGAAGGTTGTGAAGGGTGAACTGTGGAGTTAGGGACCACACCAGTGTCTTCGCTGTCCAGGGATCAAGAATCTGCCGCTACCACAGCGAACCCACGGAAACTAGTGACTAGGTGCACAGGAGCGCGGAGTCCAGTTGCCGTCTCTGCTGCTACGGCTTCCTAACCCAAAGATGGGGAGACAAGATATTGAAATAAGGCTGCGGAACAACAGCAGGCAGATGACCTCCACTTTGCCTGGATACTGATAATTGGCCTAACATTTATTCTTATACAGATCACTGGAGTAGTTTTTCACCTGGAAGATGTAGTTTTTCACTTCGTAGCCTCTGCAATACAGAAAAGTAGGCTAAAAGGTGGGAAAGGATATCACGTTTCAGTTAAGCATATCCCACAAAATAAATCTTATTAAGGCCTAGGTAAAAGGTATGCCTTAAACACTTATTTTCAGATATACCAAGTAAGACCAGCCTATTCTGTCATAACATCTTATGTTATAGCATGCCTGCCTTTGCCTCTTTCTCTCAAAAGGTACTAGGTTGAAGGAAAAACAAGTGGTAAAAAGAACCATCAGGCTTTCCACCAAGATATTAATAACTAATAGCATAAATGTTAGCAAAGGGAAAAGGTGGAGATTGGTGATGGTCATTATGTACTAGGGAATAGGGTTCTTGAACATGCTTATTTAATTTATCATCAATTATTCTGGTTCTGGTAACTTTTCCTGTTATGTAGCTTTACATGCACATGTGTATTTATTACAGGCATCCACAAGTTCAGACCAATGGAAGAAAAGAGCAGCAAAACTTGAATTGAATGAAACCCAAAAGCAAGAAATTAAAGAGGCCTTTGATTTATTTGATGTTGATGGGTCTGGAACCATAGATGTGAAAGAATTGAAGGTTTTGAAATGACTTCTAACTCTAAAACATTTTAAAAACAAATCTTTCAATCTCTAACAGCAGCCTTCTATAGATTTTAAATTTCTTTTTATTTTTGAAAGAGAACAGAGCATGAGTGGGGGAGGGGCAGAGAGAGAGAAAGAGAGAGACAGAATCTGAAGCAGGCTTCAGGGTCTGAGCTGCCTGCACAGAACCGGATGCGGGGCTCGAACCCAAAACCGTGAGATCATGACCTGAGCCAAGGTCAGACACTTAACTGACTGAGCCACCCAGGTGCCCCAACAGTAGCCTTCTAAAAGCTTGGTATAAAGTCTCTTTATTGTGGACACCTACACCATCAGTATATGTACCTGCCCCATAATAACAAAATGATATCTATTCTCATTTTATGAATGAGTACAGCAAAAACTCAAGGTGTAACAGTAGTAACATATCCTATGGCACAATGGGATTGGAACCTAGGCCTGCTGAACTGACTTGCTAGGTTTATGCCTAGTCCATAGTAAAAAGGAGAAAATCTAGTAATAGGTAATTTAAAAGCTAGGAATGAGATTGTGGCATATTATTATTATTTATTTGATTTCTATTTCAGATTGCAATGCAAGCCTTAGGATTTGAACCAAAGAAAGAAGAAATTAAAAAAATGATAGCTGAAATCGACAAAGAAGGAATTGGCACCATTAGTTTCGAAGATTTTTTGGCCATAATGACTGTAAAAATGGTATAGTAGTGATTTTGTTTTTCAAAGAAATACAAGCAATAACCTTCTAATTATTACTATCATTATTATTATTATTATTATTATTATTATTTTTGGCTGGAGCAATCAAAGAATTGGAACTAGGTCTTTAAAAATAGGTGGGATTTAGATAGAGAGGAATAGCAAGATTAAAGACGTTTTCAGGGTAGTAATGAAGACTGTCCAGTGTGGAGAAGGTTATTAGGAAATAATAAGGATAAATGGCTGGATGGAGAAAATGAGGTCAGCATTTTGAAGACTTGAATTCAGCAAACTACTCTTGAGTGCCTATTTTTGCCAGGCACTATTCTAGAGAGCATTGGATGAGACGATCTCCCTGTTAGAGCTTACATTTTTGGTAATTGATATCAATTACTGATAGATGTCCATTATTTTTATCACCCTTGCTTCTTCCACTTGAACAAATTCTGAATTTAAATAACCTGAGAGCAGATGTGAGATTGGAATAATTGTTAAAAGCTAGAACAGTAAGTAAACTCAGCTACCTGGCACATTGCTGCTCTAGACCTCAAACACCCATTAAGTCCAATTTGATAAATAAATGAAAGATCTAATGACATTTAGTTGTTTCTGTTTTTAAAGAGTGAAAAAGAAGAAATATTGAAGGCTTTCAAATTATTTGATGATGATGATACTGGAAGCATAACACTAAACGATATCAAGAGAGTTGCTAAGGAACTAGGGGAAAATTTAACAGATGATGAACTTCAGGTAAATTTTACTTATTTTTATAATTTACATTTATAATTTATATACAATTATAATTTATATATTATAATTTACAGTTATATTCTTTAGATGGACTCAGATACATTCAAAATAAAATTTGTATATATATTTGAGTATTGTATCATTCACTTTTAATGATTTCACATACCATATTTACATTTTGTTTTACAGGAAATGCTTGATGAAGCTGATCGTGATAGGGATGGAGAAATAAATGAGGAAGAATTTTTGAGAATGATGAAAAAGACCACTCTTTATTAATACTTTTTAAAATTCATTCTGTAAAGTTAATAACTTTGTATTTGTTATACAGTTCCATAATATCTGAATGTATTCATTTTCAATTTTTAGTTTATTTGCACAGATTGGTGACTTGATGTATAATCCATCCAAGAAGTTAGGCTTCTATCAACATGTTGTTAAACATCTATAGCATCAAGAAAGACAATATAATGATTTCTGTGAACCGTGAATCCAAAACCAGTATTAATTCCAACTGCTATTTTTGGACTCCCAGGGTCTAAAGACTTAGAATTTTTTCAAGTTTAATGAAACTGAGCCCACATCCAAATGAATTTGGCAAACAAACAATTACTTTCCCTATTATTTTCCTTTGTGTAACTCTTTAAAAACTGATAAATATTTGCTTTTTAATCAGTTATTCAGATATGTAAAGTATTAAATAAAATTGCCTAGCAAATACTTTATTTGCTAGTTTTCTTCTTATAAAGAAATTCAAAGCACTTATACTACCCAGATTTTCCTGTAAGTTTGACCCTGCAAGTGAGCATTTAATGACTCTGTCTTGGGCCGTGGTAGGGATTTTACATGTTATCTCAGTTAATATGTTACAACTTGGAAGCTGGTGGTATTAGCTCCATTTTACTACATACAAGAAAACTAAAGCTCAGAGAAATTTAAACATTGCTCAATTGCTCATAGATAATAAAACATGGATTGTAAATCTTGTATCCTTATGCTTCATTATGCAGCTTCGCTATGGATAAAAACTCTCAGGATAAGTATATATTTTCTAACTCATTTAATATTTTGACTCTTGTAATTTAACTTTGTTTCCTATGAAAGAGCCAATCTATTGACAAAGGCAGTCTCAAGATACAGTCTTTTGATTTCCCACTGGGTCACACAAGACTGGGCCTGGGGCCCAGTACACTTCTTTACCAAGAGACAGAGTCTCTATAGCTTGTGCTGGAATTGTCTGAATATCTTTCCACTTCAGACTCAATGTGTGCTTTTTTCTGCTTAAGCATTGTGTATAATATAGTGCCTGTATATGTAATATGACACCTGGCCAACTCCACTTTGAAAAGAGGATGTACCCTTTGGCAGGGGGTGGGGTCCTTCTGCTGTGCAACAAGATGGGTTGGTACAGGCCAGTTGCCCTATATTGGCTTCTGGGAGGGACCACTTGGCCATGGAAAACTGACATACACTACTGAAACTGATACTGCTTGGTCTTTTCTCTATATGAGTAAAGAATTGTTCCACCAAGTAGCTGACTGCATTCTGTTTTCTTTGGCAACTAAACTGATACCAAGATGCACTGGCAGAAGCTCTCAGATTTCTGTTCCTGATAAAGGCAACAGGTGCCACTTGCTGGACACCAACTCTTCCTAAACTTAAGTAATGGTTTTTGGAGCAAGAAAGGCTTGCAGAAAATATAACTTTAATTGTCCCACTTAGTTCATTTTTAGTTCAACTGAAATGAAGACTCGAGTCTGTCAACACAGGATTTTTTTTTTAATTGAAGCTGGAATGGCATATATATGCTTATGCGCATTATGCGCATCCTGTGTTCCACAGGATCTTTAATTCATAATTAGCATTTCCTGCTCAAGAAAAATATAACTAATAAAC